CGGCCGGGGCCGTTTCCCCCGGAGCCGGGCAGCCGTGTCCTCGGGATCGCCAGAGCGATGGGAGGGTGACTTGGGGCCGGAGCGATGGGACGGTGACTCGGTGACTTGGGGCTGCAGGAGATCGGCGCCGGCATTCTGTGGGATCCCGGCGTCTGGGGAGCCAGCACAAGTTGGGACAGGCATTACAGCCCCTTTCTGCCACCTCGAGGTACCCCCAGACCCCCCGGCCCCCCATAGCAGCCCTGGCCTGGGCAGGACCCAGCTGTGCTCCCAAACCCAGGGTCTGCCAGCGCAGTACAGCCTCCCGGACCCCTGCCAAGCGCCCGCCAAGCCCAGAGCCAGACGCTGATCTCACTCATCCCCACACAATCCCTTTTATCCCGAGACACATTTATCCTCGGTTAAACCCGGGTCTGGGGCTTCCTTTGCCGTTGGAAGAAGATGGGGCTTGTAGGGACCTGGGTCCCACCAAGTTGCAGCCGTGGGTTGGTGATGGGGCGCTGCTGGGCTCATGAAGTGTTTGGGACCACCAAACGCTGTCTTCTGAGCTTGGTCATCTGATCCCAGCTCAGGTAGGGACCAACTTTTTGGCTTTCCCAAAGCCGGGAAGGGTCTGGAAGTCATGAACATCTTCAGTACCTGCAAGTCTGGGGATGGAGGAGGATGTGGTGCGTAGAAGATCCAGCTGTGGTGGTGCTGCAAGGGCATGGTCGCTGGAAGATGCCACACTTTGGTGATCTTGAGGACGTGGTCACTAGAAGGTGCTATGCTTTGGTGGTAGTGAGGACATGGGGGCTAGAAGGTGCTATGCTTTGGTGATGTTGAGGACATGGGGGTAGATGGTGCAGGATGTAGTCACTAGAAGGTGCTGTGCTTTGGAGATGGTGCAGGACGTGGTCGCTAGAAGGTGCTGTGCTTTGGAGATGGTGCAAGATGTGGTCACTAGAAGGTGCTGTCCTCGGAGATGGTGCAGGACATGGTCACTAGAAGGTGCTGCGCTTTGGAGATGGTGCAAGACGTGGTCACTAGAAGGTGCTGTGCTTTGGAGATGGTGCAGGATGTGATCACTAGAAGGTGCTGTACTTTGGAGATGGTGCGGGACGTGGTCACTAGAAGGTGCTGTGCTTTGGAGATGGTGCAGGACATGGTTGCTAGAAGGTGCTGTGCTTTGGAGATGGTGCAGGACGTGGTTACTAGAAGGTGCTGTGCTTTGGAGATGGTGCAGGACGTGGTCACTAGAAGGTGCTGTGCTTTGGAGATGGTGCAGGACGTGGTCAGTAGAAGGTGCTGTGCTTTGGAGATGGTGCAGGACATGCTGCTGTGCTTTGGAGATGGTGCAGGACATGGTTGCTGTAAGATGCAACACTTGGTGATCTGGAGGATGGGGTTGCCAGAAGGTGCTGCGCTTTGGTGATGGTGGTCGCTAGAAGGTGCTGTGCATTGGTGATGGTGAGGACATGGCCGCTAGACGATGCCAAGCTCTGGTGATGGCGCAGTCAGTCCCACTGACCCCACCTTCCCCAGTGAGGTCCTGAACCCAGCAGGAACCGCGCTGTGCTGGGGCTGGAGCCACGTTCTCATCCCGGGTGCTGCACCCAGCCGGGAGCCGGGGCGGGTGCCTGGGTGCCTCTGCCATGGGGGGGCTGATGGGTCTGGCTTATCTCCACCCGTGCCTCAGTTTCCCCCCTCCAACAGCAGAGCCGGGCGTGCCAGGAGGGGTTCCCCATCCCCGCAGCATCTCAGTGAGCCATGAACGCCAACTCTGACAGCCGAACGGTTGGGTTTCGAAGGAGTTTTGGGGGAGAATTTCTCCTTTTTTCCCCCAATTTTTTCCCCTGGAGCTGGCAGGGATGAGGGGGGCGGGCAGCCGGGGTCCCTGCCA